TCCCTCACCTGCAGCCCTATGAGCAGGGCCAAAAAACTGTGCGCTGGGACAGCTGGATATCCACGTGCACAGGATAAAGTGGCACTTCTTCCTTAACTCACCTTCAACAAAGGTTAACTCAGCATGATCACAGACCTGAACGTAAGAGCTAAAACCATAAAGCTTTTCACAAAGCAGAAAACATAGGAGTAAATCTCTGTGACATTGGCTTAGGCAATGGTTTCTTAAATACAATACCAGAAGCAGACAAACAAGAAAAATAGATAAACTGGACTTCATCAAAAGTTAAAAACTTTTGGGGCCGGCCCGTGGCTCACTCGGGTGAGTGTGGTGCTGATAACGCCAAGGCCACAGGTTCGGATCCTATATAGGGATGGCCGGTTCGCTCACTGGTTGAGTGTGGTGCTGACAACACCAAGCCAAGGGTTAAGATCCCCTTACCTGTCATCTTATTTTTTTTAATTAAAAATAAAAATAAAAACTTTTATGCTTCAGGGGGCACTGTAAAGAAAGTGAGAAGACAACCTACAGAATGGGAGAAATTATTTGCAAATCATATATCTGATAAGGATCTAGTATCCAGACTAATACAAGTCAAAACTTGTATTAGTTTCCTAGGGCAGTAGTAACAAAGTACCATAAACTGGGTGGCTTAAAACAACAGAGATTTATTCTCTGATAGTTTTGGAGGCTGGCAATCTGAAATCTAGAAGTCAGCAGTGTTGGTTCCTTCTGGAGATTCTAAGCAAGAATCTTTTCCATGCCTTTCTTTTAGCGTCTAGTATTGCCAGCAATCTTGGCATTCCTTGGCTTGTGGACACATTACTCCAGTCCCTCCCTGCATCAGCACAGGGTGTTCTCCACTGTGTCTCTGTATGCACTTGGCATTCTCCTCTCTGTGTGCGTCATTCTCCTCTTCTCGTGGGGACAGCAGTCATACTGGATGAAGGACCTACCCTACTTACTCCAATATGACCTCACCTCTTTTTTTTTTTGGCTGCTGACTGGTACAGGGATCGAACCGCAGACCTTGATGTCATCAGCACCACACTCTAACAACTGAGTTAATTGGCCAGCCCCTTAACTAATTATGTCTGCAAGGACTGTATTTTCAAATAAGGTCACATTCTGAGGTACTAGGGGTTAGGATTTGAACATGTCTTTTTCAGAGACACAGTTCAACCTATAACACAACTCAACAACAAAAGCACATCCCAATTTTATAATGGGCAAAGAATTTGAATAGATTTTTCTCCAAAGAAGATGTACAAATGACAAATAAGCACATGAAAAGATGTTCAATATTACAAGTCCTTAAGGAAATGCAAGTCACATGATTCAGCAGTTCCACTCCTGGGTGTACACTCAAGAGAATGAGAACATGAGTCCACAGAAAAACTTGTACATCATTGTTCATGGCAGCATTATTTATAATGGCCCAAAGTGGAAACAACCCAAATGTCCATCAGTTGATGAGTAGATAAACCAAATGTGGTGCATCCATACAATGGAATATTCTTTAGCAATAAAAAAGAATGAATACTTATACAGGCTTGCGGCATAATGAACCTTGAAAACATCATGCTAAGGGAAAGAAGCCAGTCACAAAGGCCTCGTATTACATTACTCCATTTAAAGGAAATGGCCAGAATGGGCAAATCTGTACAGATAAGAAAGTAGATTAGTGGTTTTCTAGAGCTGGGGTGGTCAGGGGGAAATGGGAGTGACTGCTAATGGGTAGGAGATTCTTTTGAAGGTGATGAAAATGTTCTAAACTTAGATTGTGGTGATGGATGCACAACTCTATATACCAAAACTATTGAATTGTACACTTTAAACGGGTTAATTTTATGATAAATTATGTCTAAATAAAGATTTCTTTTAAAAAAAACTTAAAAACAACCTGTCTTTACTTCTTTCTGAATAGAAAAGCAAGAGCTGGATCTCAGAAGATGATTTCTACCGGCCTCCCCAGGAGCAACCCTCAGAAAGGGCTTCAGATCACTCAATAGCATCTTCTAGAGGGACTCCAGAGTCAAAGCCAGGTCTCCACAGGAATTTTTCTCAAGGACCAAGAGAAAGCTTCTCCTTGGGGGCATTAGACAAAGCATGTGTGCCTTCCCCAGGAAGCAGGAAAACCAAGGCAGCCCCGGCGCAGGAGCATAAGAACTTCTGTGTGGTGCACCGGAGGCAGATGGGTAGGTGCCTGTACAGGGTCCCCAGTGGGCCCTGTGTACAGGGACTGTGCTTGTCAGAAAGCAGCCCTAAAGTCCTGTTTTCATTACCAAATGGTGGTGTGCTCTCACAAGGAAAACCTCATCCTAGAACACCATAATAAGGAGCACTTGTGCTTAGTAAATCAGGAAAGCATTTCATGAAAAGTACTGTATCTTCTTATAAAATCCGTATAGAATAATGCTCAAAGCTGTATACAGAGAACAAAAATACTGTTTCAAATATTGAAATGGAAAATATTTTCCCTGAAACTACTCCATGAAAGACATGATTATAGAGAACACTTGATTCTACCTGTGGCTTAGAGCGTACCCTGCCCCTCGAAGCTCCAGGTGTTTCAACTGGTTCTTCCAAAGGCTTTTTTATCTCACATGATTTATTTAGCAGCTCTGGTGGGGTTTATCAGATCTGCCATTTGTTTAGTGTACTCTGCCTGCTGTTTACAGTCAGGCCAGCTTGATCTTTATACCCTGTGAAATTCCAGAAAGTGCTAAACAACCTTAACCTAATTTTCTGTATTCCTCATCATGGGTTCCCTCTTCAAAACAGAAAAAGTGTGCCCTAGAGTCGGTCTGTTTCTCACCTCATTTTCTTTCTTTCTTCCCTCCCTTCTTCCCTCCTTCACTCCTTCCCTGATGCTCTAACCAGCTGAGCTAACCACCAAGCCTTCTCCTCATTTTCTGTTTGTGGTGACACAGCAGGGAATTCTGCCAGACTCGTGGGGCCCTGGCTTGGGCGATGTGGATGGAGCCCTGGTCTCATGCTGGCTCCTTTTAGATTTGGCTTCCAGCCCATGTGATGGTTGTGGTCTCTAACCAGGCCAGAGACAGTGTGCTTCATGCCTAGGCCATCAAGTTCCCTGAAGGGTAGGAAACCCCTGTACAATAGTTTGAAATCTCCAAGGCTAGTCCAGGCTGGAAGAGAGAGAATTGTGTGTCCTTCAGACCCCCTGGTTGGTGGCAGACCCAGGGAGTAGGGAGCATTGGGAGAGTGTGGTACATACGCACTCACTCGCTCACTCACTCACTCACTCATTCATCCAGCAAATAGTTTTTGAGCATCTGTGATGTGCTGGGCACTGTTCTAGGTGCTGGGGACACAGCAGGAAGCAAAACAGTGTCCTGGTCTTCATGGGATTTATATTCCTTTTTTTTTTTGTTTTTAAAGATGACCAATAAGGGGATCTTAACCCTTGACTTGGCATTGTCAGCACCACGCTCACTCAGTGAGCTAACCGGTCATCCCTATATGGGATCCGAACCCGTGGCCTTGGCGATATCAGCACCACACTCACCCGAGTGAGCCACGGGCTGGCCTGGGATTTATGTTCTAATAGCAGGAGGCAGGAAATAAGAAAATTAACAAGTAATTGTAGTGTAAGGTCATGAGGTAATAAGTGCTGTAGAGAACAATTAACCAGGGAGTACCAAGGTGGAGCGTGGACTGTTGCATACAGTTTGGCCAGGGAAGCCCTCACATAGGTGACATTTGAGGACATGTGAAGGGAGGGAAGGAGGGAGGGAGGCATGAGGAGATCTGTACGTTTCAAGCAGGGAGAACAAATGCAAAGACCGTGTGCTGGGAACATGTTGGACACATGCAGGGAACAGTGGAGACGAGAGTGGCTGGAGCAGAGGAGATGGGGGCAGGGTGGTAAGAGGTGAGGTTGGAGTGACAGGGCCTCAGGGTCACTGAAAGCACTGTGGTTTTGCCCTGAGGCAGCCACTGCAGAGTTTTGGGCAGCAGAATATGATGTCTTTTAAACAGGTCATCCTGACTCCTATGTTGAAGGACTGCAGGGGGAGAAGAGCAGTTAGGGGGCAATTGTCATACCCCAGGCCAGAGACAACAGTGGATTAACCCCACGAGGTGGTGGCTGAGGTGGTGAGACGTGGGAGATTCTGGATGTGTGTTGACAGTAGAGCCAACAGGATCTGCTGTTGGGTCAGATGTGGGTGTGAAAGAAAGAAAATCTAGAGTAACTTGAAGGCTTTTAGCCCAAGCCACTGGAAGGATGAAATTTACCAGTTTCTGAGATAAGGGACATTAGGGAAGGAACAGGTTTGCAGTGGGAGAATCAGGAATTCAGTTTTGCCAGCATTGAGACGCTCACTTAGACATACATGGAGCAGATGGATATATGAAGTTGAAGAGCGAGGTCCAGGCTGGAGATAAACACTGGAGATTTGTTGGCATAAAGCCCCGAGAGCAGGTAGGGTCAGCTGGGAATTGGGTGTCTGCAGGGAAGAGACGAGGACCCGGGACTAAGCTCTGGGTGCTCAGCCCTGAGAGGTTGTTGGCATAAAGCCCCGAGAGCAGGTAGGGTCAGCTGGGAAGTGGGTGTCTGCAGGGAAGAGACGAGGACCCGGGACTAAGCTCTGGGTGCTCAGCCCTGAGAGGTCAGGGAGAGGAGGAGCAAGCCAAGGGGTGGGAGGGTGCAGAGGAGGGCGGAGGAGTGGCCTTTGGGTTTGGCAACAGGAGGGCATTGGTGGCCTTCCCAGGAGCAGTTTCAGTGGCACGAGGGGACAAAAGCCCAATTGGAGCAGGTTGAAGAAGGAATGGGAGCAGGGAAACTAGAGAAAGAGAGTTTCAAACTCCTCAAGCAGTTTTCCTGTAGACGGGACTGAGGAACAGGGTGGTGATTAGAGGAATGAGGGGGGATAGCGAGTTTGTGTGCCGATGGGAATGATCCAGTGAGAAGGGAGAAAAGGGTGACACAGGAGAGGGGCAGAATTGCTGGAGAGATGTCCTTGTCCTTGGGTAGGTGGCAGTGGTGGGGGACCTTCTGTGCAAATGGAGGGGTTGGCCTCCACAGAAGCACAGTCCTTCATCCCTAGCGACAGGAGGGAAGTCAGAGTGTGGGTACAGATGCTGGAAGGGGGTGAGTGTAGTAAGGGGACATGTGGAAATAATATTGTGAGTGCTTTTACTTTCTCAGCAAAATACAGAAAGCAAGATCAACAGCTGAGGGGGAGGTTGGAGGGAGGCACCCAAGAAACATCCCCCCCCACTTTCAGAATCCCATTTGACAGTGCCCTGTGGCAGGCCTGCGTTCTGGTGACAGTCACCGTGTCCACACCCACTGCAGGACATCGGGCTCCAGAGGTCGCCTTGGGTGGTAAAGGGACAGGTGCATAGTCTAAAGTGCCTCTTTCTGCCTCCAGGGCTGTCCAACCCGTTCCGGGGGCTCGTGAAGCTGGGCACAGTAGAGCGGCGGGGCGTGATGGGCATCTGGAAGGAGCTCTTCTGCGAGCTCTCCCCGCTGGAGTTCCGCCTCTACCTGAGTGACGAGGAGCGCACCTGTGTGGAGAGCTGCTCCCTGCTGCGCTGCGAGTCTGTGGGGCCGGCCCACAGCGACGGCCGCTTCGAGCTGCTCTTCTCCGGCAAGAAGCTGGCCCTGCGTGCCTCGTCCCAGGATGAAGCCGAGGACTGGCTGGACCGGGTGCGGGAGGCCCTGCGGAAGGTCCGGCCTCAGCAGGAGGACGAGTGGGTGAATATCCAGTACCCAGAGCAGGCTGAGGACCCCCCTGAGGCCCCCCAGCATGGCTGCCCCTCTCACTTGGATCTGCTCTCGGAGCCTGTCACCCTCCGCGGCACACAGTTGGACTGGTCGTCCGCTCAAGTTCCAGAGCCAGATGCTATTAAGGAGTCCCTTCTGTACCTGTGCATGGACAGGACCTGGATGCCTTATATTTTTTCCCTGTCCTTGGAGTCTCTGAAATGCTTCCGCGTGAGAAACAATGAGAAGATACTAAGTGACAGCCACGGAGTTGAGACCATCCGAGATATCCTGCCGGACACAAGCCTCGGAGGCCCGTCGTTCTTCAAAATCATCACGGCCAAGGCCGTCCTGAAGCTGCAGGCTGGGGATGCCAAGGAGGCTGCCCTGTGGAGGGACCTGGTCCGCAAGGTTCTGGCGTCCTACTTGGAGACGGCAGAGGAGGCAGTGACGCTCGGTGGGAGTCTGGACGAAAGCTGTCAGGAGGTGCTGAAGTTTGCCACCCGGGAGAACGGCTTCCTGCTGCAGTACCTGGTGGCCATCCCCACGGAGAAGGGCCTCGACTCCCAGGGCTGCTTCTGCGCAGGTGCCGCCGCCACCTGCCAGCCTCCCTCTGCCTCCCGCGGGTTCCTGACGCGGGCTCTCTGCCCCTCCCTGGTGCTCCACAGCGCCTCCATCCTTCCCCTTGGGACCATGCTGCACCTGAGGCTCGCCCTGCAGTCCCTGCCCTTCCCCCTTCCCCCTTCCCTGTGTGCTGCCTCCTTCCGAAGGAAGGGTGGGTGGCAGCCCCGCCTCCACTGCCCTCTACTCCGGGAGTCCCGCCCCCCCATTGTCTTCTTACTATGCTGTCATCTTTTTTTTTTTTTTTTTTTTGTAAGTAAGATGACCGGTAAGGGGATCTTAACCCTTGACTTGGTGTTGTCAGCACCACGCTCTCCCGAGTGAGCTAACCGGCCATCCCTATATAGGGATCCAAACCCGTGGCCCTGGTGTCATCAGCACCACACTCTCCCAAGTGAGCCACAGGCCGGCCCTATGTGCTGTCATCTTTCAGAGCGGGGGCATGGTATCCTTCCAGAGAGGTGTGCATGCTTTTGCAGTGGACACAGTTTTTTATTACAAAAATGGGCTCATGCTTCAATGCTGTCCAATAGAAGTTTCAGTGATGATGAAAATGTTCTAGATTTGTGTTATCCAATGCGGTAGCTCTGAGCGACATGTGGCTACTGTGTGCTTAAAATGTGGCTAGGGTGACTAAGGAACTGAATTTTCCATTAAAATTATTTTTTTTTTTTTTTTGGTGGCTGGCCAGTATGGGGATCTAAAACCTTGACCCTGGTGTTATCAGCACCACATTCTAACCAAGTGAACTAAACGGCCAACCCCCTTGCACATGTGCTGGTGCCACTATATTGGACAGTGCAGCTATACGAGGGGTCTTCAAAAAGTTCACGGAAAGACTTGTATTATCTTTTCATTCTGTTCTTCCACAAACTTTCTGAAGTACTCTCATATATTGTTCTGCCACTTGGTTTTGTCCTACGTACTAGTACATTATGGATATTACTCCAAGTCAGTACGTCTGCTCTATCATTCTCATGATCAAATCTAATACTTCCGTGCTGGGCCCTGGGCCAGATGCTTTATTTGGATGATCTCATTTAATCCTCACCACAACCCTGTAGAGAGAGGTGTTATCTCTGTTTATAGGTGAGAAAACTGAGGCGCAGAGCTGGTAAATACCTTGTCTCAGGCTCACACAGCTCATAAGTGGCAGAGGCAGAATTAGGACCTTGATGGTTGGGCCCCAGAGCCTGTGCTCGTAGGCAGGACCAGAGAGGGCCTCCTGTCCAGTGTGTTGTTCAAGGCTGTGAGATGTCCCACGGCCCATGTTCCAGTGCTAGTTCTTCCCACTCCCCCATCCAAGGGGAGATGCCATCTCCATCACCATGGGGTCCTCAGGAGAACAGTGAGGAGGTTGCCCTGCTGCAGAAGACCAGAGCAAGAAGCTGAGCCTTGGTTTAGGAACTGTCCTGTTGGAGTGGAGCCTATGGACTGGAGGGGAAAGCCTGCTTCAAGTGTCTGGAAGGAAGTGGTCTGTGGTCTGACCCCTGGAGGATGGGAGAAGCTAAGCAGAGCAGAGCTTCCTGTAGAAAACAACTTCAGGCCAGTGCATAGCCCTTGCCCCCTGCCCCACCCATTCCAGCACTCCCACTTGCTCTTCAGCCTGTGGGAGCCAGGACTGGGGAGGAGTCCAGGACTGCAGGGCTTGTGAGGAGGGGTTCCCCACCTGTCGGTGTGAATGCTTTGGGGACGGCTCTCACCACAGCTCTCACCTCCCAGCCAGGACCATGAGACCAGGGAGTTTGGGCTTCCTTTCCACCCTACAAGCTCGGCTCAGTGGCCAGGCAGACACTGACCACTGACATCTGGGTTGTACTTCATAGTTTCAGAACCTCGTCTTATTTAGTCTTTGTAATAACCCCACAGAATAGCTGGTAGTAGGTGAATTTTACAGATACTGAAATGGAACATGGAAAAAATTAGGTGAAGGTCAGGATGAGGCCGTTGGCCAGCGGAAGAGCTGGCCCTCTGTCCTGAGGCTGGAGGGACCTGTTCCCCTGCCTTGTGGAAGGCAGGGTACATGTTCAGGATTTGAGCCGGGACTTTGTTCTCTGTCCTGTGCATACCCCACTCCCACTGCCCCCATCCTGAGGGACTGGCAGCGCTGTGGCCAGACCCATCTCCCTAGCTTCTTCCCTGCTTGCCGAGGCCCCGACTCAGTTGCTTCTGTTTCCAGGCCCAGTGGAGGGGTGGACCGGGAGGAGGTTGGTATTGGTGAGCAAGCAGTGGGGACAAAGCCAGCTAAGTGTACTGGAAGAAAATGCGGGCTTGGGAACCACCACATCCAGATGTGATGCCCCCTGTGCTGCTTAATCGTCATGTGCCCGCACATTTCCTAACCATCCTGAGCATCACTTTCTTCAGCTGTAACATGGCAATGGTAATTCTTTCAGTGGGTTGTCATTGTAAAGGTTAATTAATTAACAGGGTTGACTCTGAGTGGTGGAGATATGAGTGGTTGTTATGTTTATATTTTTACTCTCCTTTAAATGTAAGTGACCAGGGCCGGCCCATGGCTCACTTGGGAGAGTGTGGTGCTGATAACACCAAGGCCACGGGTTCGGATCCCTATATAGGGATGGCCAGTTAGCTCACTTGGGAGAGCGTAGTACTGACAACACCAAATCAAGGGTTAAGATCCCCTTACCGGTCATCTTTTAAAAATTAAAAAAAATGGGCTGGCCCAGTGGCGCACTGGAGAGTGCGCTGCTTGAGAGCACGGCGGCGCTCCCGCCGAGGGTTCGGATCCCATGTGGAGACCGGTTCCCGCTCACTGGCTGAGCGCGGTGCGGGCGCAACACCAAGGGTTGCGATCCCGTTGCCGGTCCCCGGTATGGGCGCGACGCCGAGGGTTGCGATCCCGTTACCGGTCAGTAAAAAAGACAAAAAGGAAAAAAAAAATAAAAAAAATAAAAGTAACCAGTGGGCGCTTTCCGCCACAGCAGCTGCTGTGTTACTAGGAGGTGACTCTGGCCCACAGCGTCCCACTCACCCACTGCCCATCTCCCCAGGCTGCTCCCGGCAGATCGGCTTCTCCTTTGTACGACCCAAGCTCTGTGCCTTCTCTGGCCTCTATTACTGTGATATCTGCCACCAAGATGATGCCTCAGTGATTCCAGCCAGGATCATCCACAATTGGGACCTCACCAAGCGGCCGGTAAGTCCCAGGCCCTGCCTGTCACAGCCACCTGGGGCTGCTGAGGGACAGAAGACTGTTCACTCCTCTTGGCTGCTCCTGTTCCTCTGTTTAGGGGAGTTTGGCTCTGGGGAAGCCAGGGTCACTTTTTCAGGCCCTGTGCTGTGGGGGAGATGACCAAGAGAAAAATGTGGTGCCTGTCCACAACCTCTGGGCAGAGCCCTGTCAGTGCCTGCCTTGGTCGCAGGTGGAAATCTGAGGATGGTTCTCTGCAGCTCTCCTCAGCCACCGACAAAACCATGTAAGGCACTGACAACTAGCTAGCTAGATAAAAAGAAACAAAAGTAGGTAGGTAGATAGAAAGGTAGGTAGATAGGTAAATACATAGATAGATACATAGAAAGGAAGAAAGGTCAGTAGATAGAAAGGTAGGTAGATAGATAAGATGGATGGACGGATTGGTGGGGGGTGGATGGGTGGGTGGGTGGGCTGGCCGGCTACACCCCTTGGAGCAGGCAGCCCTGCCTTTGCCGACCCCGTGAGGCCCGGGTGACTGCACTTTTCTGCAGGCCCTGCATGGGCTCGCTCATTTCATGTTTGTGAAAGGGCACTTTTTCTGGGGCTTCCCCCTTTATACATGATTATTGCTTAACATTTTAAAATTATGGAAAAGCCAAAGGCAAGTCAAAATTGTGTCATAATTCAGAGATAATCACTAGTAACATTTTGGGGTATACCCTTTTCTGTGCATTTATTTACATACATGTTGCTTTGCATTGCTTCGCACCCCATGGGTTTGTCACTCCACTTTCCCTGGGTGACAGAGACGCAAAAGATTACTCAAAGCTCATCTCTGCTGAGCAGTGAGAGGCCCCGAAGTGGTTATTCTCCCACTGGAACCCTCAAGCAAGAGGCATCCCTTCCTTGGGAAATTAATGCCGAATTGGGGTTCTCTTCCTGCATTTATTCTCCAGACCAAGAAGTTACAGGAAGAGACATAGGTGGGGTTATAGTTTAACAGTATAGGCTGGTAACTTTCAGTGAAACAAGCCAGATGACATCCCAGTAGACAGTTAACTGGTCTTATCAACAGCAGTTTGATCTTAGCAAACACTCCTTCCTATAACAATTCTCAGTATCTTTACATAACCATCAGTAACTAGTCTGTCTTTGAGCCAGCAACCTGCTGTGCCACAATCCTTATCTTGCAACGGAGACTTATAGCCTGAGGAAAATTTCCAGTCCTCCACAAGGTCAATATTTGAAACTGCAAGGCTTTGGAAAACCATGCCCTGTGAAGTACATATGCTTTTTCGTGTATTCCACACATACGCATCTACTTTTTTATGAAGTTGGGATCATACTGGACTCACACTACTTTGTAACATGCTTTGTTCACTTAGTATTATATCTTGGGTACTTTTTTATGTTCACCAAATGAGTTTGAATGAGTTGTGTCCTAAGATCTTTCAGAGTTTCCTTTTCTCCAGCTGAGCTTAGCTTCTTTCTAGCTGTGTTACCACCAGCAAATTAACTTCAGTTTCCTATCTGTAAAAAGGGATTCATAACAGCATCTGTGTCAGAGTTGTCATGAGGACAGATGTGGCAGTATGCACCTGTCACTTAAAACAATACCCTTCCCCTTCCCTGAGGCCTGTAATTCCTCCTGCCCCTAATTAACTCAGTACAGGTCAGCCTCAAGGGGCGCACCTTGGCTTTCTCCCAAAGGCACAGATTTCTGCTAAGACAGACACAGAAACACAAGAAGCTGTTTGCCTGCCAGCTGTGCAGTCTCAGTATGTGGATGAGTCCTCATGCGAGTGCAGAGAGGGTGACTCTCCAAGTCAGTTCCAGCCCAACCTCTGCGCCCCAGGGAAGGGAAACCCCGAGGAAGTTGGCTTCATTTTGGCTTTTAGTTGTTTACCGTCCCCACCTCTGCACTCAATGTTAAGTATTTAGCCAAAAACATCGAGAAAACTAAGCCTCACAATCACCCAAAATGCAAAAAACCCTTTGACCAAAAACCTCATTCATTATTTACTAGGACCTCGATACTTCTGTTGCGCTGTCTCCTTATTTATTGCTACAATTCTTGTGCCACTTCCTTTTTCAACTAGAAAATTACAATTCTTTTTTAGGCATATCTGAGATCAGGAAATACTCAGATCTCTCTCAAAGATCACCAGCCTGGGAAAGACAGGAAAATTCAGAATAGCAAGTGGCTGGTCTGCAGGTTGGGGCCTTATCATTTGCTGTTATTGCTCTGGCTGACCCTCTTGTGCTGAGGCCTGGCCAGCACTTGGCAGGATGTCAGCCCAGGACTGGGGCTTTTTGTCTGTCTCCTCCATGCCCACAGGACAGAAACAAATGGTCCCTGGGGAGCATGGAGCCCCGCCCATCTGCAGCACATTCCTGTGTTGTTTCATCTGAGCCTCACCCCAGGCCTGAGGATGAGTTGTGGGAAGGGCTTTGCTAGGGCTGGAGGACAGCAGTTTGCCATTGGGCTGCCCCTAGGCTGGGGCTGGTAGCTCAGGGCTCTAGGATATGGGAAAAGAAGGAGTTGACCATTGCTGGGGTTGGAAGAGATCTTGGTGGAGTTGAGAGACAGGACGCTAGAGGCCTCCCTAGCCCCCAAATATAGGGGCGGGTCTCCTGAGGGCCCTGACCCTCAAGGGGATGGCTGGGCCACAACAGGCACTCCCATAGCAGCTGACAGCAACTCAAATTTACTGAGCACACACTACATGTCAGGCCCTGTGCCATGAGATTACATGGATCATCTCTTCTAATCTAAACTCAAAATAATCCCGTGAGGTAGGCGCTTTTATTCTCGCACTTCACACATGAGGAAACTGAGTCACAGAGAGGTTGCGTTTCACAAGGTCATACATGTAGGAAGTGGTGGAAGCGGCTTTGATCCAGTTCTGACTCCACAGCCGGCCATGGAGAACACATCAGCTCCTCTCTCCCTCTCATCATGCAGTGAGGAGATGACAGGGGAGAAGGGCCGTTCAGTGGTTAGTGCAGCAGCCTGCTGTTCAGAGGCAACACCTCAGCTCTGCAGACAGGTGGGATCAGCCACTTTAGCTTCTCTGAGCCTCAGTTTCTTCATTTGTAAGATGGAGATGATGGGTTGTTCTGAAGATGAGGAGAGGATGTAGTCAAGGGCCCAGGCCCAGCGTCTGGCAGAGAGTAGGTGCTCAGTTCCTGGCGTTGTTGGTATTAGGGCCAGGGCCGAGGGTACAACCTTCAACACCTATTGGTGGGAGTGGCTGAAACAGATCCCTCAACCCCACATGGAAATCGCTGGTGAGAGCCGAGGGAGCTCGGGAAATCCTTGTTGACCTGTGCCTGATCTGTGGCTTCCTGTAGTTGGAGCCTGACTCAGACCCGTCACCTGGTTCCTGAGTCAGGGCCTGGAGGGGAGTGCCTGATTCCTTTAGTCAGGAAAATGGGGGCTGGGAGGACAGGAAGCAGTGGGAAGGGTCTCTGAGTTCCAGGGGGTGAGGGGTGTTGACCAGAGTGGCCCCTCCCCCATCAGCATGGTCAGGAGGGGCAGCAACTTGTGCTGTCAGAGGGAGCATGGATTTGGGAGTCAGATAAAGAGGGTTCCAATCCTAACTGCCAAGTCGCTTCATCTCTCTGAACCTCAGTTTCCTCATCTGTAAGGGGAAGGTCGTACTGCTGCAGGTGAGTGACTAGGCAGTGCAGTGCCTGGCCCGGAGGTGCTCACTGAATGGCCATTCTCTCCCACCCGCAATGCCTGTTGGTGTCCCAGGTCTGCCGGCAGGCCCTAAAGTTCCTGTCTCAGATCCGGGCCCAACCTCTCATCAACCTGCAGCGGGTGAACGCGTCTTTGTACGAGCATGTGGAGCAGATGCACCTTGTCGGGAGGAGCCGGGAGCAGCTGAAGCTTCTGGGGGATTACCTGAGCCTGTGCCGAAGTGGCGCCCTGAAGGAGCTAAGCAAGAGGTGAGCGCCCTCCACGCACGAAAACAGGCACGCGCGGCACACACATGCACGCACGTCACATACACGTGGGGGCCAGTGCCCGGGGCCAGGCGTCTGTTCACTTGGGAGAAGTGCCAGGGCTGAGCGGAGATCTTCCTACTGGGCTGGGGAAATGACCGCATCCTTTGGGGGTGGTTTTTGGTTTTTGTTCATGTCTTCATTCATTCATCCAACATATTTAATTGAGAACATACTAAGTATCAAGCACCAGGCTAGGTGTGGGACACAACTCTGAGCAGGGTAGACCCAGGACCTACCTCTGGAAGCTCCTGGTCTGGCAGGAAAGGCAGATGAGTAAGCTGGCAACTCCAGCCAGGGGGTGAGGGCCAGGAGAGAGAGGCGGGACAGCCAGGAAGCACAGAGGTGAGACATCTAACCCAGATTAGAGGATGGCATAGCCAGAAAGACTTCCTGGAGGAAGGGACTTCTCAGGTGAGACCTGAAAAATGAGTAGGAGTTAGAAGAAGAGAAGAGGGTTCCAGCCAGAAGGAACTGCACATGCAGGCCACAGACAAAGGCACCATGTGTGGAGAGAACAGGGAGAACTGTGGCTGTAGCAAGGAGGGAAGTGGGGAGCGTGGGGTGAGGCAGGCCAGAGAGGCAGGCGCCAGCCAGATGATGAACAGCTGTGTTCCCTGCCTCCTCCCCACACCGGCCAGTCCTCTGTCCTTGCCTGCTTGCTGCTGTCCACAGCAGCATCCCTCCTGAAATCCTCCAAAGAGTGTGACATGGGGGACTGGGACCCTCGGGTTGCCCTTCAAGAAGCTTCTGGTGTCCTGGGCCTGGGGGCCTTTGGTGCTCAGAGATAGGAGATGACACTGGGCTTCAGGATGGACTTAGAAGGCCTTTCTGTGCCCATCATAAACACCCCCAGCTCTTAGCTCACAGGCCAGGCTGCAGCCTTCTGAGTGGCTGTGCTCTCCCCAGGCCCTCAGGAAGGCAGACCTCAGGTCAAGGAACCGATGCTTACTGCCCACCACGGGCTTCATGCTACCTTTGCTAGATTTCTGGGGACTTGGAATAGCTCACAAGTCCCTCCAGGTTCCCTCCTCCAGCCTCCCCTCCCCACAGGGCTGGCACAGAGAGCACCTGTCTGAAGGGCCCCTCCTCTGTCCCGGCTACAGTTCTCCCAGAGCCATGCCTATACCACTCCTTGGGGCCAGGGTGTACCCGGTACAGGTCCCATGAGGCTCTTGAGGAGGAGGGTGCTGCAGGGAGCTCTCTTCTAGGCAAAGGGGAGAGTCTTGCCCCTCACAGTCCCTGCAGGGCAGGTAGCTGAGCCCTGGTCTCCTCTGCAGGGCCTGGAAGAACAGAAAGCCCTCTGGGGGCCACCATGAGGGACCCTAGGTGGCTTCTCTTCTGAGAGTCTCTGCTCACCCCTGATCATCAGCTGGGTGCCTGGGTCTCCACCACTCAGTGGGTTCTCACTCATTCTTAGCCTTTCTGAGATTCCAGGACCTAGGACTCCAGGACCCAGGGCTCTCCTGCCCCCCTGACTGGGATGGTGAGATCTCCAGGGTCAGGTGGGGCCTCGTCACCCTCCCTGGTCAAAGTTCCAAGCACCTGCAGAGACCTGCAGGCCTGTGTAGACCAGGTGCCTGCAGGATGGGTTCAGAGCACCAGCCCACTCACCCATCCTGCTGAGACTTGTCTCTGAGCCAGCTGTGCTGTGTGCCAGGGGCAGGCTTGCCTCTTTCTCCCTGGTCCTGCTGTCCCATCCTTGGACAGCAGCATTATACACCTACTGTGCACCCAGCCTGCTAGAGGGCGGGGCCATGCCCATGGAAGTCCCATTTCAGAAGCAACACAGGGCAGGGGAAAGAACCGAGGAGCAGCCCCTGCCCAGCCCCGGACCTGCTGTGTGACTCGGGGAAGTTGTTTCATTTCTCTGAGCCCCAGCTGTCCCATCTATAATATGGGCCAGTGATCCCTGTGTTCCTGAGTTGTGGTGAGGGCTGCATGAGGGGCCCAGAGTCTGGAGAGAGCCACAGACAGGCAGACAGATGGCCCTGGGTCAGTGTGGTGTGTGCCCTAAGGGAGGGAGGGCGCCTGACCCAGCCTGGGAAGTGGCCAGAGAGCCAGGGGAGCTCCCAGAGGAGATGGTATTAAGCTCAGGGTTAAAGAGTATTTTTCCTTTTTCCTTTAAAAAAATATTTTTCTTCTTTACAAAGATAGTTAATATTCTAAGGGATATTTATTAAAGAGAATAAAGCAGAACATTCAAATCACCTTTCTCAAATTGCACTGTCTTCTGCTTCCAGTCCTCAGTCTGTCTCATGAACATGAAAACGGAGTTGGGCCGAGCCTGTGGCGCACTCGGGAGAGTGCGGCGCTCCCGCCGTGGGTTTGGATCCTATATAGGGATGGCTGGTGCGCTCACAGCGCTCACTGGCTGAGCGCGGTGCTGCCGGTCTCAAAAAAAGGACCAAAAAAAAAAAAAAGAAAAGAAAACGGAGTCCCCTTAGCAACAGTGGCATTGTGTATATGCTGAACTGGAGTTTAGAAAAATAACTAAAGAGAAGAAAGGGTGAAGGAGGGCCTGGCTTTCCTGGCTAGCGACCCATGGCAGGAGGCAGGTGGGAGTGGGCTCGCCAGGATCCGCGAGGGGCTCAGGGCAGCTGGGCTGTGGGTTCAGGGGCCAGACCTCAGACATCCTGTGTGCCACACCGAAGGCCTTTGGATTTTGTCTGCCACCAGTGGGGAGCCATTGAGGGGCTTTGAGCACGGGACTCTCACATTCTTATCAGCAGTTAGAAAAGACTGCTCTGACAGCAGTGGGTGCACGGGTGGAAGAGAGAGCCCTCGGTGGGCGGCTGGAGTAGTAATTAATCCAGGGAGCTGGGGAGGCCTGGATGAGCCAGCCAGAGGGAGGCTGAGAGATGGAGAAGGGTTGAGGAGGTGTGGGCAGGCTGTGGATGTGGGAGGTGAAGTCAGGGAGGGCCTCCCCTCTACCAGTAGCAGCAGCCTGGCCAGGTTCTCCGGCAGGCCTGGGACATGTCTCTGAGGGCCAGAGAAGCCCCTGGAGAACGTCCTTTCAGGCATTTGGGAAAGAGCCTGCACAGAAATGGCCCACAGGGGCATCTGCCCACCAGGCATCAGGTGCTTCTCTCAACAGCTGGGGAGGGGTGGGCAGAGGAAGAACCGGGGCTGAGAGGAGACAGGTAGCACCCAGCCTATCCACCTGAGTCCCCCAGATCTTCCCGCCCTAGTTGGGGCCCTTTCCTATCCCTCACTTCGTTGGTTACAGGGGTTGAGGCAATCTTCTTCTCTCACCTTCTGCTCTCTCCCAGAGAGCCCTAAAGATTCCTCTGGATCCTTCCCCAGGTGGTCAGCTTCACATCAGAGGACAGAGAGGGGCCTCCTCATTGTGAGGGTGCAGAAACTGAGGCACTGAGTAGGCCTGGGGTACAGGAGAAATCCGTGTGGATTTCTCTCCAGAGGCCAGAATGAGAAGGGGCCTCTCACCCTGAGCCAGCCTTCTCCCCTCTCGCCTTGACTGGGTGTGGCAGAGGAACTAGTTGCAAGGCCCCGCTAAGAGCATGACAAGTCAGGGTACAGTGGCTCAGAGGGAAGGCCATGGGCGGCCCCCATGGCTTCCACAGCTGTGGACAGAGGACAGCCAACAGAGGTAAGTTTCCATCCAAATCAGCCCCACCCTTCCTGCCAGCTCAGGGCCAGCCCGTGCCCCCCACCAACCCGGTGTGTTCTTGGTGGAAAATGGCAGTTTCCTGTTCCCAGAAAGCTGGACATTTACTGGGGAAACCAGCATGATAAACCGAGGGGCTAGTTGGCAGCATCCTTATCCCATGTGGCGCAGTGTGGCCTGCCTGGCTGCTTGGTGGGACTCACCATCTCTGCTCCAGATTGGGCTCCCCCTGGACAACAACTAAGGTCATGGGGTGGCCAAGGCCCTATTCCAGGTGCCCCACAACTCATGCCCTGGAGGCCCAGACCCAGGCCCTGGGACCATCCAGCTCCCAGATGTCTGGGGCATCCCCGGGCAGGTTTCCAAGCTTCCTCTGCCAGAGTATTTTCTCCCCACCACCAGGACCCACACAAACACATACAGCAAGTCCAGGCAGGTTTTTGTACCAGGGGATTTTCTGCAGGTGTTTCCTCTCCATCCCTCAGGATGTGACCTGTGGGATCCTGGCCATTGGTGGGGTGGAAACTAGTGCTGGGTTGGCAGCTAAACCCTCATCTTCTGCCTCCCCCCATCCCTAAAATGGGATCTGCCATGTTTGGGACACATCTCAGTTCCTCTCAGGTAGCACCAAAACCAGACACTTGAATGTCTACTCCTCAGCTAGACCAGGGCATACAGCAAGGCAGAGGCCATGCTTTGTGCATTTGTGTCCCCAGCACTGTCCCTGGTTTGTAATGTGGCAAAAGCCTGTAGGCACTCACTGGGGTGGATGAGGGCTCAGGCTCTGGAGTGCACCAGACTCCTGCATTCAGACTCCAGCTCTGCTATTTACTAGCTGCGTGACTTCAGGCAAGTTATTTAACCTCTCTGTGTATCCTCTTCTTCCCAACATTGGGATTTTTTTTTGGTGGGGTGAGGGCAGCTGGCCAGTACAGGGATTGGAACCCTTGACCCTGTTGTTATAACAGTGAGCTCTAACAAACTGAGCTAACTGGCCAGCCCAAAATAGGTATTTTAATAGTACCAGCCTCACAGAGTTATTGTGAGGATTAAATGAATGAATATGTAGAAAGCGCTTAGCCCAGTTCCTGGTACCAAGTGTTAGCATTCATCATCATCCTCGTCATTATTATTAATTATGTTTACTATGTGCTAGGCACTGTGCCAAAGACTTTAAATAAATTATTTAATCCTCAGAACTCCATTTCTCAAGGGAGGAAACCTGAGGTTCAAAGAGGTTAAGTAAATTGCCCAAGGTCCCACCAGCTGGTTAGTTCCCTGGAAGACCAGATCCAAGGCCAAGCAGGCTGACTCATGCTTAGCCGCTGCCCCACCCAGGTGAAGTGTTCATGCCCGGTTAGCAGAGCTGAGGGAATGAAAAACAGCACAGGTTGGCCCAGCTCTTGGAAACCTTCTAAGGGATCTCTTGTGTTTTCTTTGAAGGCTTGACCGCAGGAATTATCTCTTGGAGTCTCCACACAAGTTCAGTGTTGCCGACTTCCAGCAGGTGAGAATGTCATGTCCCCACCCCCCCAGACCTCTCTAGAGGGACTCATTCCTGGAGAAATCAGAAAGGCAGATGGGACAAGAGGTGGCTACAATTTACTGAGCAAGATGGCAATCTTCAGCTTTTCTGCACCTCAGAATGGGTAGCCCTGCTGCCCCAAGCTTCCTGGGCAGTGACCGAGCCCCCCCAGCCCCCCCAGAATGAACAGGCACTTCAGCAAATCCTAGGATCACAGGAGTGAGAGTTTGGGATACTCTTTTCCTCAAGGGAGAGTGCAGTGGATTTGGGCCTCATTTGTAAACCCCATAACCCTCCAGGAACCTCTGTGCACAGGGGCTGGACGTCTGCGTTGCTCAGCTGAGTTTGGGGAGGTTTCCTTGCCCTCATGGGAACTGGGAGTAGAAGGTCTCCAGGTAGGTGCCAGGAGCCACAGCAGGCCACGCTCCACACAGCCTTGGCACAGCTACCTGAAAGGCCTGGTGGCTTGTGCTTGCCCTCCACAGATTGCAGAGGGGACATATGAAGGATTCCTCAAGGCCCTGATCGAATTTGCCTCCCAGCACGTCTACCACTGTGACCTGTGCACCCAGCGTGGCTTCATTTGCCAGATCTGCCACCACCACGACATCATCTTCCCCTTTGAATTTGACACCACAGTCAGGTACGCGGGACACCCAGCCAGCTGCCTTCCAGCCCCACCCTCCCCCAACACTCTCAGCCTGGCCTGAGCATTCCAGGGTGGCAGATCTAGCTCTGTTGCACAGAAACATATTGAACATCCACTGTGCCAGTGCCAAGGGGTGCCAAGGCTGTCCAGAGCAGCTGTGCCCTGGGCAGTCACAGCCAGCTCAGGTTCAGCTCAGGGGCAAGACGAACCTACACAGGACTCCCCTGCCTCTACTGAGCCATCCATCTTCCTGGAGAAGAGATGGCTTCTGGCCGTCTGAGTAGGGGCCTCCCTGGACCTCGGTCTTGTCATCTCTGAATGAGTTGAAGAGGGATTGGATGAGTTACTGCCCTAGAGTGTAGGCACAAGGTCCAGTGCAAAGTGGGCCTGATGGTTGGTACCTTGCCACTGCCTCTGCGACTGTAGCGATCGCTCTTGTCCCCAGTTATTGGTCATTATCTGAAGCCTCCAAATGGAAAATTCATCCAAACTTCCTTCAACCCATGTGGGAGTGGAAAACTGCATGGTGGGAGCATTCATTCACTTTCAGTAGATGTACACTGGCCAGGATTCAGCCCTTAATGGGCCGAGGGCTGATTGATTGATTGATTGGCTGATATGATGATCCAAACTCTTGACCTTGGTGTTATAACACTGCACTCTAACCAATTGAGCTAACCAGCCAACCCAAGGGCTGAGTTTTTAAACGGTACTGGCTGATATGATGATCCAAACTCTTGACCTTGGTGTTATAAGACTGCACTCTAACCAATTGAGCTAACCAGCCAACCCAAGGGCTGAGTTTTTAAACGGTACTGTATTTTAAACAAACACAAGAATCATTTAGTGACTCTCAAGCAGGATTTATGAAAAAGGAAATAGGACAGGGACTATCAGTGTGCACTGCGTGCCTTATAGGCAAGCATTATTTCGTGGCTCTTTGTTCTGGGATGGAGAGGTGCTGCATGTGTGCACGGGTGGCAGAGTAGAGCACAGCCTTAGGTGGGTTCTGGTCAAAAGCTCCGGCCAGCCCTGCCACAGGGAGGCCTCCGGCCCAACTGGTCCAAGCAGGGCTTGCTACTCTCTCCCCAGGTGTGCTGAGTGCAAGACCGTCTTCCACCAGAGCTGCCAGGCTGTGGTGAAGAAAGGCTGCCCCCGCTGTGCCCGCCGGCGCAAGTACCAGGAACAGAACATGCTCACCTAACCCTGATCTCCCGACCCCACCGTGGAAGCCAGGGGGTCAGCTGCAGCTCAGACATCCCAGCTGGGTCTGCCATCAGCTCAGCTATCCTGTCTCAGTGTCACAGCTGTCTCCTCTTGTCAGGAAGACCCTCAGTTGTGACCAGAGCATGGGCCTCCCAGAGAAAGCCCAGAAAGCCCCCGCTGATGCCCCATGGCCTCCCTACCACCCCTCTGCTCCAGTAGGCAGGGACACCTCCAGATGCCCTCTGTCTGGGGGCAGAAGGGAGCCTTTCACTAATCAGGCCCTGGCTCACCTTGCTGTCATGGCACCCCCATTAGGGCTGTTCAGACACTGTGGAAACAAGACTTGGGGAACATTTTCGATTCTGCATTCCTGATTAAAAGATCTAGTTTTTTAAGGTGGGTTTTTCCCCTTCGTATTTCAACAGAAAATATTTTTTTATTCTTGACCCTACACCTGAGAAATCCAGGCATTCTCACCCTGAGCAGGTGTGCAGGAGCCACTCAGGCCTGGCCTGAAATGGGCAGTGGCTGGGTGGGCGGGCCCCAGCTGGGGCAGGTCCTGTTGGCTGGTTGGGGTGCCTTTCCTTCACTAGCACTGGGGCTGGCAGCTGAGTGCCACGTGCCAAACCACCCATCAGGCAGGGCAGGGTCAGCCTGCTGACCACCTTCTTCCTCTCCCGGTCTTCTCTTCATTCCCTGCTTCTGTGCTCCTCTCCTGGAAAGTCCATCCCTCACTCGGTGTCAGAGCACCCTGGCTCTCCTTCAGCCTGGGATCTTGGTCCCAGCAGAAGGGAAATGACTTGAAACCAGCACTGTCAGCACTTTGCGCCTTCCTTGCCCAGCCCTCGTCCCCATGCCCTCCTCATTCCTCCACAGATGGGCAGGCCCACCCCAGGTAGGCTGTCAGGGTATAGCCCCTCCCGACTGACCCTGCCATGGCAGAGATAGGTCGCACCTCAGGGAGGGCAGCGAGCCCAGGCCAGGGGCCAGCCTCACGTGCCATGACTACGGGCTCTGCACTGTGGAGAAGTGACCGGGTCCTCCTGCTGCTGAGTGGCACTGGGCCAGGCAGAGATGCTACACTGCCAAAGCATCCTCAGCCTCAGTGCCACAAAGCCGTTCATTCCCAAAGCTTCACTGGACTGGCCCAGCAGGGACGCTGCCGGAGAATGGGAAGTTTCTTTGGAGTTGGATTGCCTTTCAAAGGAGGTCTTGGGGATGGGATGGGCGCCTCAAATTGTTTTTTGTTTTTTTTTTAAAGATGACTGGTAAGGGGATCTTAATGCTTGACTTGGTGTTTTCAGCATCACGCTCTCCCAAGTGAGCCACGGGCCAGCCCCTCAAATTGTTTTCAGTGATGTTTTAGACCCTTGAGGTTTGGGGAAATATGGGTGTGGTCTCTCTGCTGCATCCCCCACTTGTCCTGTGCCCAGCATGCCCCCTCAGCCCTGGTATCTTCTGGCCATCTTACTTGGCAGAATCTGCCTGTCACTATCAAGAGGTGAACCTACCCCACCCTTCCCTTGGGTGACTTGTCCTGTGCCCAGCATGCCCCCTCAGCCCTGGTATCTTCTGGCCATCTTACCTGGCAGAATCTGCCTGTCACTATCAAGAGGTGAACCTACCCCACCCTTCCCTTGGGTGACTTGGCTGCTGACTCACCCTCCCGGCCCTGTGTGACTTGTGCAATAGGACAGGGGAGGTAGTGGCAGGCAGTTGAGGCTGCCACACAGCTTCTCTAGCCCCATGATGGATGATGGTGCCCTCCGTGTCCGGTACGCTAAAGCCACCTCAACCGAGATGTGGGTCCTTATCCCCAGCCCACCACCCATAGCCAGCATTAACCACCACAGACACAGCCAGGTCAAAGCCATAATTGCCCCAAATCCCTGAGTGGGCAGGAAACTGCCTGGGGTGGGCCTGTGAGAACACCAGAAGGTGCCCTAGGAGGCAGCAGGAGTAAGGCCCTGGTTGGTGGGGGCTCCGCCCAGCCCCAGGATTGTTAGCATTAGAGCTGGCCCCTTCCCCCTACCAAAAAGCTGCTAATGCTTTCAGATGATTTGACTTGTACCCCCCTCACCTCCAGTGGAAAGCTGATGTGAACCTCAGTAGTGCCCACACTATTTTAGAAATGCTATTTTATGCAATAAACTGTTTCTAGCAAGTGGGGCTCTGGCCCTGAGAAGTGCTTTGCAGTGTATTGAAGGAACTGCTGCCGTGTGATTTTTGAATGATTTTGCGGTAAAGACCTGATCTTTTTTTTTTAAGATGACCGGTAAGGGGATCTCAACCCTTGACTTGGTGTTGTCAGCACCACGCTGTCCGCAGTGAGCAACCAGCCATCCCTATATAGGATCCGAACCCGTAGCCCTGGTGTTATCAGCACCGCACTCTCCTGAGTGAGCCACGGGCCAGTCCTAAGACCTGATCTTTCTAATCGTTGGTCTGGCTTCTGAATCCTGTCACTAGGGGAAGACCATCAGTCATTCGTTGCCTTCTGATAAGGTCCCTTCTTCTCCTGTTGGTCAATCCCTGGGCACGGGGAAGGGCTGGGGAGGCAGGGTAGGTGGCAAACACTTGCAGGTAGGGGGCTTGTGGGCCAGGAGTGGGCAGGGAGAAGAGGGTGAGTAAGCCACAGTGTTCAGTCTGTACTCCGCCCTTGCCACGCCCAGGAGCCAGGGCGGGGTAGGGTTCAGGGGCTCTGGGATGCTTTCTTTGCATACACTCATAACAACCCAAGCTGATTGCACCACGGCTTCTTTTCTTGTACCTTAAATGTCAAAGCACAGACCCTGACATTGAATCCTGTGAAACCTAAAGAATACGGGAAAATTTCTCACAGGAGAAATAAGGGAGAGAGAGGGCATTCAGGGAGGACAGGGTATTTGAGCAGTACCATTGATTTAGGGCTCATCAAAGTGGCCTTCACTTGGCTACAGCCTTCCTCGGAAGTTCCAGCAGAAGCTCAGGGGGAAACTCTCCACTGTCCATTGGAAGAACAAAAGAAGGAAACAGACTAATTCCAAGGAAAATCAAGGTTGCAGGGAAATCGGGATGGGAAAAGACAACATTCAGGTCAGCAGTTTCCTGTCTTGGAAGACCCTTTCAGCCTACAATGGGCAACCTCTGCCTATCCATGAGCCCCAGCTTCCCCCACGGGCCTCACCTCCCTTCAGGGGCAGGAAGTGGTGGGCCCAGAGAAGAGAAAGGAACTGGGTTTGAGAGCAGGGCGAGGCGACCCGGTGCTGCCCTGCCTTTGGGCTTGGTGCCTCCATTCTCAGCAAAGAGCTCTGAGGGTACTTGCTTCCCCCTTCTCTCCTGCTGCCTAAAGGAGGACGGGAGGTTTAGAGGTCCCGGTCCAACCGCAAAGAGCTCATCTCATAATGTAATAATAACTAATATATTGTGTGTACTTACCAGGTGTCAGGCATTGTGCCTAGTGCCTCATTTAATCTTCCCAACAATCCTATAAAGTAGGGGTTACCATGCCCAGTTTATAGAAAAGAAAACGGAGATGCAGAGATAAGGCACAACTCCCAAGGTCTGAAACTCAGAAAGTGGCAGAGTTGGGTATCAGCCCTGCCTGACCCCAGGCAAGGACCATGACCACTACCAGCCATTGCCACCCTACCCAGCTTGCTGGGTAACTCTGGGGCAGGTGGGTGTTGAGAGAGGGTTTATCCAGCCATTATTTTCTAACTCAAATGCTGAGTTCTGCCATGCACTTGTCCTGGAGGATCCCAAGATGCCACTCACTGAGATACCGAGCACAATGTGGACTCACTGGTGGGCAACGCCTGGCAGGGGCAAAGATGCCCATGTAAGGGAGTTCAAGAAAATGTGGCTATATTCAGGCTAGGTTCAGGTTCCAACCAAACTCTGTGCCCTTGTGAAGTGTCTGGAGGGGCCACCCCTGGGGTGGGCGCTCCCTTCTCCTCTCAGAACACTAGCCTGTAGCAGCCAGCACTCAGCACATGCACCAGGTGGACACACTGTTCCTTGAGGGCCCGAAAGTAGGGGGCCCAGTGGGCTGGGGCTGTCCACGTCCAGAGTTGAGTACAGGGCAAGTCATAGGAGGTAGGCTGCTTTCTCCAAACAGGCAGGTGGTTCCGATGACAAGACCCCCAAGATGGAGGGCCCTGGGACTGGACTCAAGATCCTGGCCTCCAGGGGATTGCTCTGAGTTTACCCTGTGGATAGATTGGGGATGGTGGCTCTCCTCCCCCACAAGGATCAAAGAGGGGGGTGGGTGGGACAATGGGAGGGCAATCTGGCCAGGAGAATCTGGTGGGAGGAGGCTTTTGCCCCCCCTTATCCCACCATCCTGGCCCTGCTACCTCCTCCACCCTGGAGACAGCCAGGTGTGGCCCAGGATCCCGGAGATGCAGCGGGGAGGGGGTGGCGCCTCTGCTCCTGCGGCGCTGGCCCGGCCCAGAGGGGACAGGAAGCCGGGACACCGGGGATTGTCTCTCGCAACCGCAGCCCAGCCCCAGCCCGGGAGGAAGTTTGGCCGGGCGCTCTCCGCCGGTGCCTCCCTCGTTATATTGTTGAACAGGAAACAGGGCGGCGCTGGAGCCGGGCGGTCGAGGAGGGAGCGCCGGACGCCAAGCCCACGCGCGTCTGCCGGGGCAAGTGGAGGCAAGGCCAGCGAGCGGACGCCCGGGGGTGCCAGGGCTGGCAGGGCCGGGCTGGGGACGCTGAGCCGGGGTGGGGGGTGCCGCAGGTGGCCGGTGCTCATGCGGGAGCTCCGCGCGCCTGCTCCCCTTCGCACGGCTGTGGCGGGAGCCGCGCGGGCCGGGAAGGAGGGCCGCGAGCGCCCGATCCCCCTGGAGAAGTGTAGGTAGGCGAAGGGCTGCCCTCCGTCCGGGGTCAGGAGGGAACAAGGCCCAGGCCCCCCGCCACTCGCTCGCGTCGCCCGGGCAGTGGACGCAGGGCACCTCCTGGCGACGTGAGCATTTTTGCGCTCCAGGGACCCTCCCCGCTCCCCCAACCCTCCCCTTCTCTTTACTCCCCTGGGGTGGGGTAAGGAGACGAGGCCCGGGTCCCCTCCCTACCCAGCCCGAGAAGACTGCGCTCCGGTGGGCGCCCCTGCCGTGGGAATCCCGCTCCGAATTTTTCCAGGCCTGGCCTGGTTGCGCCGGGAAAGGGCCAGGAGAGGGCGGAGGTGGGCCCGGAGCGGGTAGTGCCGGCAATCCAGCTGGAAAGGACTTGTACTTAGTGATTCAGGGTGCAAATGGCCTCGTTCGGAACGGCAACGCCCGGACGAAACAAGCAGCCCCAGCCCGACGTTCCCAGAGCAGCGCGCCCAGGGGCAGGGGCTCGCGGACGGCAAATCCCGCAGGGGCGGGGCCCTGCCCTCTTAGAGCTCTGCTCGCGACCCGCCTGCGCCCCTGCA